AAAAACCTGTGGTTTTTGCCTTAACCACGGCCTAGCCAACCGATGCAAAAACCGACCGAAAAATCCAAGGTTCTCCAAAATAAAAACCAAGTGTTTAAAACACTTATTTGATGTATTTGGCTAAGAAATCAAGTGAGACACTTTAAAAATCACTTCATTTGATTAAAAACCACGGCTAGCCAAGTTTACGCCGTTTTGCGTGGTTTTTGTCAAACGACTAAAAACGAGAGATGGTTTTCAAAGTGTTTTTGTTGGAGAACCGTTTAAACATGCCAAAGAGTGAAAGCAGATCATAAAATGCTGAAAACCACTTGGTTGGTTCGGATGCCAAAAACCAAACCCGACAACCGAAAGCCGAACGCTGGTTTCTTTAAGCCGAACACTGGATGGCTTGGTTTTTGGTTTGGGCGAACACCAAGTGTTTTTAATGACTTAAACAAGTTTGAAAAACATTTTTATGATGTAAGAAATGCAATGAGAGATTTTAGCCTAAAGAGCCAAGGTGTAAAGATTGGGTCGGTCTTGATCACAATAAAGACCGACTCAGTACTATGATTAAGGTCTTCGTTCTTGGTCTTCGTTTAGCTCTTTCTCTTATCTTCGTTCTTCGCCTTGTATATTCAATGTTCGACTTGATCATGGCGGTTTGGCATTATCAAAACCTGTTACAAGAACGAACACGGCTTTAGTACGAAAACGTGACAAGCCCGTGTTTCAACATATTCCACTATAAATACAAGCCTAATCCTTCATATTTCTTCAAGAAACAAAGCTCTAAATATCCTCTCTTTTTATTCCAAGTGTGTTCATCCTTCTACTAATTATTTTCAATATTTTGGCTATTTTAAGAGCCTTAAATTCCTGATTTTTATACACACACTTTTAGCTTGTGTTTCTAGTTATATACTCTCATATTCATAAGTTTATATTGTATTTTTGAGAGAGTATAATTTCCTTCTACACCGGCCAAGTTTTGATCTTCATTTTTATATTCTAGCCGTTGTGTAGAATCCTCTTTTGTGTTCTTCAAACACACCTTCTTACGGTCGAGAATAGCCGTTAAATTCTCACGTTGTAACGGTCAAGGATAGCCGTATAAATCCTTGGGTAAAGGTTCAAGGATAGCCTTTGAAATCCTTGGGGGAACGGTAGAAGATAGCCGTTAAATCTTCGTTGTAAACGGTTCGAGATAGTCGTGGTGAAATCTCGGAGTTAATCCTATTGGCAAGGGTTGTTTGCCAAAACTAGTGCGGTGCTTTGACAGAGTTCAAGAGGCCGAGACTTAGTGGATTCGGAAATCCTTGAGGAGGAGCCTCGAGGTACTTGAGTAGGAGTTTCCCGAACCTATATAAAATCGGTGTGCATTTTATTTACGCTTTTATTTCTGCGTTTTATATATTGCTTCCGCATTTGCCAACACCGTTTTTATCAAACTCTGAAAAGATTTTAAACCCCTTATTCACCCCCCCTCTAACGCGTGGGCACAACGACTAAACCGACTAACATGTTGTAGTAGTTCAATTGTCGAGCACTTAATGTAAAGTGCGGAATAAATTATTTCAAAAAATGTCGAGCACTTAATGCAAAGTGCGGAATAAATTATTTGAAAATTTGTTATTTTGTTATTTTAAAAATGTTATTCTTGTTATTTCAGTGTTGTAGAACTCTTGATTAAATTTAAATGTTTAAAAATTACTGATTGCTTTAAAAATCTACTACCTCCGTCACAGTGTATTTGTCCAGTTTGACTTTTTCGAGTCAAACAGGACAAACTTTGAACTCCAATTACACTTAATTTATATTGCATATTAGCATAATGAAATACAATTTTGAAAGTTCTCAATACGATAAATCCAAGAAAGTAATTTTTACGTTAAAATACATTACGGCTTTTATTTAATTGAAGCTAAAAGTTTGTCTAGTTTGACTCGAAAACGTCAAACTGGAAAAATACACTGGGACGGAGGGAGTATTTATTTTTAACTTTAGTTTATTTAAGCAATCTTCAAAAGTTAAAAAACAAACAGTCTTCCTCTTGCATACTGCAGAGCTTTGGTCCACCTGTTCTCCTACAGATGTGTGCAGATGTGGTGTGCAGACTGCAGACCTTTTTCTGTAGAAAAAAAAAATAGCACCTTAATAATTTATTATTTATATGAAAATATTTACACCTGCGATCATATAGTATCTGTATTTGTCTAGTATACAAATAGAATATATCATTTTAGTGTACCCCTAACATGAACCTTTCTCTTATCTACTTTACATAGATGTGGCAATTAGATCAATCAGATCGGTTCCAATTTGGAATATTTCAGTTCGGATATCTTTCAGATATATGTTATAATCGGTTCAACTTAATTTCGATTCAGATTTAAATCAGTTCCATACATTTTTTGTTTTTGCTTGGATTCTGGATTGATTAAGATTCAGTTCAAATGTCAATCGGTTCGGATCAATTTCAGTTTCGGGTACATTCCGATTTGAATATATTTCGATTCAGATATATATCTTATTTTTTAATTAAAATTTAATTATTCCTCATTTTTAGTCATATCGGATTTATTAATCTATCATCAATTTATCGTCTCATATTATTTTATACTTCACTCTAAATATCTTCTATTTTTATCCTTTCAGTCATCGTTTATAGATTTGGATTACGAATTATGAAAGAAAAGTATATTTAGTTCTAATTTGGAACTAATATAATTGGATTACCAAATTACATAGAATTTGGTTAAAATATGTTGAAACTGAGTAAAATTGAATGCGATTAGATAAAATTTGAGTAAAATTCAAAGCACATGTTTGGTCAACCACACAATATTGCACGAGACGAGAGTGAAAAAAATAATTTTAATCATGCTCTAGTTGGTACGGAGTATAAATTTTAACTATCATTTTATGTACTCCCTCCGTCCCGTAAAACACTTCCTCTTTCTTTTTTTATCCGTCCCTTAAAACTCTTCCTTTTTCCTTGAAAAAGACTTATTTGCCCCCACCCAAATTAAACCCTACCCATTCACAGCTGACACTCCACACGAATCACATCACCGATTCCCACACCTTCTTCGTCTCTCTAGATCTGAGTTTTCCTTTTCCTCCTCTCCAGATCTAAGTTCGTCTCTTCCTCTTCTGTAGATCTAAATCTAATTTCTCTCTCTCGAAGAATAGATCTAAAGGTCCTGAACTTCAGATCTTCTTCTCAACCCTGATCCGATGTTATCCCGCGATCCTTCGATGCCCAGTTTTCAACTTTTGAGTGATAGTGATGATGATGCACTTCCTAGATATGGATCCCCTCCTCCATCGAAGGCTGAGATGAAGAAGGCAGAGTTAAATCGTTGGGGATTTGATGGAGGAGATACAGATTCCTCTGAAACAGACCCAACTTGGAAAACAGATGCTATACTTCTTCTTAGCATAAGAAAACAGATGATATACTTCTTCTTAGCATAAGCAAACAGATGCTACACTTTTTCTTAGTAAAAACAGAACAGAGTGATTACATGACAAAAGTTAGTCAACAACAGTTGGTAGTACATACACATCATGTTCTATGACCAATCTGTATGCTAGATTTTCATACTACACTGATTACATGCCATACAAAATATGTGCAAAAAAGTCATTACATGGGAGTACATTAAAGTATTGTACTTTTACCCATGATGTTTGTACATACAAAAAGTAAGACTTCCAAGACTTGGTAGTCTACATGTGTTCTTCAAGGAATGTTTTTGCTTCCTGATAGACCTCTTGGCTTACCCCAACATTATCTGGTAGTCTTCCAAGTCTAGCCAAACTACTTTTCCCCATGTGTGGGATTTTGAAGTTGTTACCCCCTTCTGTTTAAGCACCTCCCCCATTACACTTTGACATGTCAAAAAAACATTGTTTAACTTCTCAGGGGTGAGGGCTGTAAAGGATGTGGTAACAGCAGTGATGAGGTCTTCTAGTTTCCTAGGTGCTGTCTGGTCTTGAATTGTATCAATTGACCTAAAATATCCCAAATCCAAAACATTAAGGTCTGGGCTATTAGGAGGCTGGAATTGAAGCTTAATGTTCTAGTCACCCTCCTGTGCAGCTTGTACAAACTCTGGGTCATTCACATCCACATGTGGTTTAACATTATCTTGCTGTATTATTACATCTCTTCTTGGACCAGGCCATTTTTCTTTTATTGCTGGCAGTAATTTTTCCAGTAGCATCTTTTTCATTTCATCTTTGTTTATAGTGGTGGTTGCCTTGACCTCTAATGTACCTGCTGGCCTGTTTTTGCTAGACCTTTTGGCCTCAGCTTCAAATGTGAATGGGAATATACCTATTTTCCCATCCCAGAGGACAGCCCCATCATTCCCAAACCTAGGCCTACCAACAGCTGCTAGGAACATGATTTTTGGTATATAAGCCTTTGATTGAGCAATTCTGTATGGGTCTGGTTCTTCTGGTAGTGCATAAAATGTTGTCTTTTCCTTTGTGATGTTAAACCATTTTTCATCAATATGAATGTAGTCATAGAAATGATGAAATGTGGGGTTTATGGGAATGGATGGGGAAGTAATATGATCCAAGCAGTATTTCAGTCTTTTGAGCTTACCTTTTTCACACAGAAAAGGCTTGATGGCATTAGAATGTCTTCTTATGTCCTTGCTCTTTAGCCACCTTTGGACTGTTGATTTTGAAACATCCATTGCAAAGGCTAAGGCGCGCATGTTCTTCCTTCTGTGAAAGGGTACTGCTAACATTTTTTGCGTGTCAACAGTACCCCTTTTCTTTCCAGAATTCCCTATCCACTTGCACTGAACATCCACAGGTAGACCTGCCTGCATTTGAGTCTTAGCTATACTCCACATCTTTCCAACAGTTTTGGTTGATATGTTGAATTCTGCAGCAACCTCTTTCATGCAGCCCCGCTGAAGTTTGCCATTTTTACAAAATTGAAGTAGCTTGTCAACGACTCGTTTACGTTTACAATTACGTTTTTCACAACCTTTTTTTCCCAAACTACTCGTTTCTTCTTCTGCTGTAGGGGTGTCAAGACTGAGGAGGGGAACCTGGACTAAAGGTGGCAGGTTCGTACTGCATGAATTTGAAGAAAAGGAAGACAACAAAGATGTGGTTGACAAAGACGGTGATGATGGCGGGGAGACCATTGATGGACATGGTGAGGAGGACATGAAGAAGCTGAAAAAGGACATCCTTTAAGTGTGTATTAAATGCAGATCAGAAAGAAGTTTCTATTTATAGATTTTCTTTAGGAATTTCATATTGTAATTGGAGGAAAGTTTAAAATTTACCAAAATTTAATTTGGCACAAAAAATTCCCTTCAAATTTGGATTTTGGCATGTAATTGTACCAGAAATAGGAAGGGGAATTATAAATCCCATGCTGTAGCCGAACTAATCCCTGCTGTGGCTGTGTACTTGGTTGTACTTGGCTGTGTACTTTTCCACCTTTTCATTTAATGCAATACTATTCACTTTTTTCTCTTTACTCCTTTTTATTTCAGGGTTTGGGGGTATTTTGGGAAGGTCAAAGGGACAAATACACTCCCTTAAATTTTAGTTTTAGTCAATAAGTCCCGTGTTTTACGGGACGGAGGGAGTAAGTAGTATTGTTTATTTTTATACCAATTTATAAAAAAATAAATTTAAAATATATAAAATTTTACATTTTGTTTAGATATGACAATTCATTTTGGACATAAGGAGTAAGTAATATACGTATATAATTATTTCAAATGATAAAATAAAAATTTGAAATCATATAAATGTGATGGTTCACTAATTTACATAAACATAATATTCTATCTGGTCCTAAAAATTTTTCTTATTTTGTTTTTTGGGCAAACAATTACATACTTTGATTACAAATTGTGAGAAAAGTATATTTAATTAATATAAATTTAATATAACTGGGTTCATTTTAAGATATAGTTTTGATATATCAAATTTTTATATCATTTACGGATAATTTATTTAGATTATGTTTATTTTTTGGTCATAAAGTGTCACTGTTTGACCAAAGAAAGTCAAAACAAGAAATATTTTTAAGACTGGCGGGAGTATGTTTATTGTCATGAAGAATCAATTTCGCATATATTCGGTTTCAGATTTTATCGATTTCGAATCTTATCAGTTTCAGGGTCTTATCGGATTATGATCTAATCGATCAGATATAATCGGTTTCGAGTTTAAATAGAGTATGAATATATTTAGTTTGGTTTCAATTCGAACCATTTCAGTTATTCTATTATAAATCAAATTTTTATTTTTTGGATCATTTCAGTTTCGGTTTCGAATCATTCCATGTTGGTAATCGATTTGGGATTTGTTTTGGAGTCTAAGTTTACATAAGTAGTACGAAATTCAGCTAAAGATATTACGGAGTACTGATTATCATTCTTACTCCCAGGATTCATCTTCTTCCTAGCATCATAGTCATATCATTTATCTATCCTTTCTTTCGTCACAGCTTCAACTTTCTTCTTTTTTCCTATAGAGGGAATCAAGAGTTTCAAGCCGAAGAATTCCCACTTTTTCTTTCTTTCTTTCTACCTAAGTTTCTCTTTCCTGTGTAAAGAATCTGTAAATAGTGTGTTGGGTTTTCTTGGAAAGATGATCTCAGTGGTTTGGGATCTTGGCAGGGAACACGATCTAATTCCCTCTGTCTGCTGCATATTTTGGTTTCTAGACTTTCTTCGATTTTGAAAAGACACGCCTTTGATCGATTCCTCCTCAAGGGTGCCTGCCCATAGGGTTCTGATTCCTTCAACTCCGGGGGGTTTTCTTGATTTAAATCCAGAAAATCGCCATTGTTGGAACTCCACCTCCGCGGATTTTCCCCTGCTTCTCACACCGGAAGTCATGGAGATTCTCTCGCCGGCGGCGGCAGCCTCTTCCTCGCCTTACCTGGCGAACTCGATCTGGGTGCTTGAGGAGACCAAATGGACGGCGGCTGAGAACAAGGCCTTCGAGAGCGCGCTTGCTCTGTACGACAGTGACACGCCGGACCGGTGGAGGAAGGTGGCGGCGATGGTGCCGGGGAAGACGGTCACGGACGTGATGAGGCAGTACAAGGAACTGGAGGATGATATTTGCAGCATTGAGGCCGGACATATGGACCCCGTCCCTTTCCCGGCGCCCTTGGAATGGAGTCGCGCCGGCCCTTTCGACGCTCGGACCCAGTTCCTCGGTGCCGGCGGGAAGAGATCTCCGTCCCACCGCCCGCCGGAGCAGGAACGGAAGAAGGGTATCCCCTGGACCGAGGAAGAACACAAGTGGGTAACCCTTTTTCTTTCCAACAAAGCCATTTAACTTGTTTGATTCATTGAATCACTGAAAATACACATGCTGACAAGGTGTTCGACGAATTGCCTGACAGACTGTTCTTGATGGGTCTGAAGAAATACGGGAAAGGCGACTGGAGAAACATCTCCCGCAACTTCGTCGTCACCAGGACGCCGACCCAAGTGGCCAGCCACGCGCAGAAGTATTTCATCCGACAGATCTCCGGCGGCGGGAAGGACAAGAGGAGAGCCAGCATTCACGACATAACCACAGTAAACCTCGTCGAAACCCAAACGCCTTCTCCGGATTACAACAAACAGACCACAGTAAACATGTTCGTCTCCCCTTACTTTTGCACTCAGATTATGCCATTTCAGATTCATCCACAAACCCAGTATTATTCTGGTTGAGATTAGAGAACCAGAAATAATGGGGTGTTTCTTGCAATTTCTCGCTTTGTTCTCTTGAGAATTGATGATGAGAATCAAGATGTAATTAAGCTTATGTTTCTTGTTAAGAAAAGAGATGAGAAATGTTGGGCTCATGATGAATGTTCATCTCGAACATGAAAATCATTGTGAATCAGTGATGTGAAGTAGTCATATTTCTCTGATATTTTTGCTGAAGTTTTTAAACCAATACTCGGAAAAATCTTTGAATATACAAGAATACTTAGAAAATCAATTAATTACATTATAAATCTCAAAATTTTTCTCTATTTACTAAAACACTTCACCAGCTACCTTCGAAAATCAATTAATCTCAAAATTTTTCTCTATTTACTAAAACACTTCACCAGCTACATTACTTGCTCGGTTACTCCATCATATTGTGTACGAAGTGATATCTACATGATTTTTTAAAAGTGATGACTTAGACAATAATAACTTTTATCAGTTTTCATACAATTTTTTTTATTTATTCTTCTATCAACTCAAATATTAATCTCATATTTTATGAGCCTGTTCTTTTGGATATTACGGAGTAGTTTTTAATTTCATACCGCTCTTCCAACATCTAATTTTAGAATTTTAACCGAAAATGCCATGTCCTAGTTGTGAGGTACGTGATTTATGATTGAGTTGGAGGAGGAATAAGTAATTTATTTTTTTATGAAAACTAACAAATTAATTTTATTTTCAAATCATCATTTTAAAATTCCATTTAGATGTTACACAATTTTATTGTGCAAGTGAGATGTGGGGTGGAGTATTTTCATAAAACAATACAATTTTGGGAGTAATGGTGTAATTAATTAATTTTCAAAGTATTCTTGTAAAATCAGAGATTTTTCAGAGTCCTGTTGTAAATTTTTCCTATTTTTATTTTCGGGCAAGTTTCATATTTTTTTTCGAATAAATGGAAATACTTCTTCTGTCTCTAAAAGATTGACACAGTTTGACCTTTTTGGTCAAACTATGGCATCATTTAACCATGAATTAAATATAAACACGATTTCATTAAGTGTTTTAAAACAACTATTATAATCCAATTTTATTAAATTTACATTATAACTAAATATACCTTTTCCATAATTCACGGTTAAATGGTATCAGAGTTTGATAAAAAGAATCAAAGAGTGACAATATTTTAGGGATGGAGGGAGTATTTTCTTTTTGATTTTTTTGATACTTTTATTTTTTATATGAATACCTTAAAACGTTTATCAAGTAAATCGTATACAGAATCTGTATTTTTGAATATATTCCGTAATACTAATTAATAAAATACTTCTTAGACCAGGACATGAGATGACCCGGACATTTTCAAGACTTGCACTTGACCAGGACATGAGATGACCCGGACGTTTTCAAGACTTGCATTTGACCAGGACATGAAATGACCTGGACATTTTCAAGACTTGCATTTGACCAGGACATGAAATGACCTGGACGTTTTCAAGACTTGCATTTGACCAGGACATGAAATGACCTCGACATTTTCAAGACTTGCATTTGACCCGGACATGAAATGACCTGGACGTTTTCGGGACTTGCACAAAGTGCCCTGGACGTTTTAAGACCTGGACGTTTCCAAGACCTACTAGACCTGGACGTCCTTCAAAAGTTTCAACCAATAAAAGTTTCAACCAAGCCTACTAGACCTGGATGTTTTCAAGACCAGGACATGAGATGACCTGGACATTCTTAAAATAATTTCTAAGAGGGGGACCAAGCAAGAAAACAACCATGCAAGTCTAACCAGTCAACTTCAAAGGGGGACCAGGCAAGAAAATAACCATGCAAGAAACTGAACCATTCAAGAAGTTCAACCAGGCACAAAGGAATGCGACCGGACTATGAAAGTCCCCTTAATTGGTGACCGTTCCATTTGAAGAGGGCCGGCCTTCTTTTTTCTAGAACCCTCCCGAGAACTCTTATGTGAACCCTTCCACTCTTGGGACGGGCCGGGAAGAAGAGTGGCCAACCTCTTTGTCAGGGACCTGCACTGGAACCTTGTGCGACATAACCTAGTTATCATATGAGATTTGCATCATATAATCGGGTACTCTGGGAGGTGTGTACCGGGCACTTGACCGGGTACTCTAGGAGGACTAGGAGGACTTACATGGCAAAAGACCGGTTAATTATATAGAGTTTACATTTGGATTTCCCAATAATTCAATAGTGACAAGTCAGAGAGAAAGACTTGATGATTACCAAAGTGCCAGGTCTGATGATCTCCAAAGTGCCAGATCCGATGGACCCCAAAAGCGTCAGGTCTGATGAACTCCAAAGTTCCAGGTCAGATGAACCCCAAAGCGCCAATTCTGATGAACTCCAAAGTGATACATGTGATGATCCGCAAAGTGCCAGGTCTGAGGAATCCCAAAGTGCCAGGTTAGAAGAAAGAAATGATACCCAAAACATCATTTTCGGTCAAGGGAAAGGCTTGATAATTTTAAAAAAAAGACAGGTCAAGGGAAAGGCTTGATAATTTCAAAAAAGGACAGGTCAAGGGAAATGCTTGATTATTTCAAAAAAGGACAGGTCAAGGGAAAGGTTTGATACTTTCAAAAAAAGGACATGTCATGGGAAAGACTTGATAATTTCAAAGAAGGACAGGTCATGTGAATGACTTGATGATTTCAAAGAAGGATAGGTCATGGGAAAGACTTGATGATTTCAAAGAAGGACAGGTCAGGAGAATAACTTGATGATTTCAAAGAATGACATCTCATGGGAAAGACTTGATGATTTCAAAGAAGGACAGGTCATGGGAATGACTTGATTATTTCAAAGAAGGACAGGTCATGGGAATGACTTGATGATTTCAAAGAAGGACAGGTCATGGGAATAACTTGATGATTTCAAAGAAGGACATGTCATGGGAATGACTTGATGATTTCAAAGGACAGGTCATGAGAATGACTTGATGATTTCAATAGTGATAGGTCAACATAAATATACTTCCCGCCCTTGATGATTTCCTCACAAGGCCGGTAAGTGGAGGACTTCTTGATGGGTATATCCTTATACCCAGCCCGAATTTCCGAAAGGGACCAGGTCAAAAGTTGACCGGTCACTTTCCATGATTACAGAATGAGAATAACTCTTCGATCGAGACGAGTCAAAAGTTGACCGGTCACTTTCCTCAATAAGTGATCGGTCACATTTCGTGCGATAGCCAAAATGTCACCTTATATTATAAAGGATATTCCGGAAGACCAAAGAGACGGGTTGAGCTCAAGAAATGACCGGGTAACCTTTGAGAAAAAAGGTGACCGGTCATATCACCTTACTTGGATAACATTGGTCTAGTCTCTTAGGCATGGCGAACCACGTCAAAGATCGAGGGACCACCCCGCCGCTCATCCATCACCAGGCATACAGTGAAAGGGATGTTTGTCATTTTGCAGGGTTGATTGTATTGAGAATATCCATCTTATAGTCATTGATTGAACAATGCTTCTTGGTTGTATTAGTAGCAAGTCTATGATTGAATAGTAATTAGATTATGCACAGTGACCTTCCTCCGGGTTTCCTATTTTGTCCATGGATGAACAGGGGAAGGTCACAAATCCTCCTCTATAAATATGATGATTATGGATAGAGGAGGGGATCATTTTTCTCTCACTAAAGTTCACTCTTGAGATAGAGTAAGAAAGATAATTCGGACTGAGGAGATTTACCTGGTCTAGGTCATACTTTGTGTTCTTGTTGTGTGTTTTATATTACGGGTTGAGTGTGTCCAGGCCAAAACCCGGTTAACCCACCCAGCTATATTTACACCATCATAATCCAATTTTACTAAATTTACATTATAACTAAATATACCTTTTCCATAATTCACGGTTAAATGGTATCAGAATTTGATAAAAAGAATCAAAGAGTGACAATCTTTTAGGGACGGAGGGAGTATTTTCTTTTTGATTTTTCTGATACTTTTATTTTTTATATGAGTACCTTAAAACGTTTATCAAGTAAATCGTATACAGAATCTGTACTTTTGAATATATTCCGTAATACTAATTAACAAAATACTTCTTAGACTATGTGTAATTATTGAGCTCCGAGAGGGCGTTATCCGCGATATGTAAGGTACTTTATCAAGGGGCTCCATGAAAACGTGGTGTAGTGCATAAAGCCCCATAATTATTACTCCATAATGAATACTCCCTCCGTCACCTTTTAGATTACAATATTCCTTTTTAGACAAAATTAGGAAAAAGTGAAATCAGTATTTTTTTCCGCAAATTATCTCCAAATAGTACAGGAATGGGTGGGTGGGTGAGATTTTGACATTGAAATGATAAAGGGGAGGGAGGGTAAAAGAGTCCATTTAGTGTAAAAGTAAACACTTTGTAATTCTTTTTGGGACAAAAATAAGAGGAAATATTGTAATCTAATTGGGGATGAAGGGAGTATGAGAGATGAAATTTATCATGACAAAACTTATACTCCCTCCGTCTTGAATTTGATTACAATTTTTTTCCTATCTCCTCTCGATAATTGTTGTTTGTTTACGCGATTTCATTAAATATTTGATGAAATAAAATATTTTTGTCACCTCTTGTTTTGTAGAACTTTTGACGTAGTTTTTTAATATGTAATTTTTATCTTTTATTAATATATTAATTTGTGAATAAAATAATTTTAAAAAATAAGATATTTCTTTTCGTAAACCCCAAGTTGTAATCAAATTGGGAATTGAGGGAGTAGGTCCTTAGCATAAATCTTAAATTAATTACCCGACATGGTTTGGTAAGGTAATGTCACAGTTGAGTTTAGCAGTCAAAAGAAAAGGGAGTGCTTCAATTATAATATTCTGAGTAGAAGCTGAGACTGAATTCCACTAGTTGCAGCAGTAAGCATCTTATTCTTCGCCCCATTGATGCCCAGCATGTGGCAACTCTCACATCTACCTTAAAAATTAAAAAAAAATCTCATCTTAAAAGTTTCCCCATACCAGCCGAACAATAATAAAAAAAATGGTAAATTAAGATATACGGAGTATACTTCTTCCGTATTAAAATCATTTCTTAGTTATTATTCATAACAGTCAAATTTTAGTCATTTTATTTGCCTATTTTTATTTTTTAGTAATTATTTCGTAAAATAATATTGTCAGATCACATCTAATTTTGTAAAATTTTTGATCCATTTTTTTAAATTTTAAACATATAATCAAATAAATAGAATTGAAAAATAATTTTAGACGGTTCTCTGCTTATCTATCACTTTTCATGTGCTCGAAA